GTCACGGCTGCTGCAGCAAACGCTGTTAACCCTTCTGCTGCTGATGAACTGAAGAAATGTTCCAGTGCAAGTACAGTACTTTTACAGGATGGGAATTAGACAAAAGGACAAGGAAAGAAGACTCAAATGGTCTCCAGCCAATGCTGGTGGCAGTGCACCGGATAACCTCTTCTTCCTGCCACTGTTAACGCTGTCTGTTACTATCACAATCTTGTGTGTTTCTTCCCTTTAGAAGCCCACTGTTAATGTCTATCAGTGTTGGTTTTACTGTGGAAGCAAAGATAAACTCACAGCCATTTCACCATGCGGTATTTTTTCTAACTTACCACTGTAAAAACACAGCAAGCAAAACACATTTTAAACTGTGGGAGGATATCACATCTAATTTAATTCAGCTGGTGTGAGCTGAACTGAGAGTTTGAGGTCTAGCAGTTAAAAAGCCTCACCCACATTCGAGTGAAAAGAATGCGTTTTGGCAATCGAGAGATGGGGGAACCGAAATTTATTACATCTGCAGAAGTAAGCAAGTAACAAAACTGAATACTTTATCTGCTTCTATCATGACAATATATCAAACTCCTAAATATTCATTCAAATCTAGTTTATTTATGATATGTAAATGAACATTAGTAACATCTGTTTATTGTCTTTTTACATCTTGCATAAAGTTTCCTGTTTTCATTATTTATTGGCAGCTTCTTTCCTTCGAACCACAAAAAAACAATGCATTATCACATTGTTTTTCACTCCCATTATCATCTCTGTCCTATCACAGTTGTGTTTTTCTTACAGCAAGGTGACTCCTTGTTTGTTGCACCCAGCGGTTGTCCGCGCTTGGTGACAGTTAAGTGTTGTTTTTGAACTCGAGAGGTGTCACAGAATTGACCACAGCTCTGTCTTGCTCAACCCTGTCCCTGGTTGATGAGTCCCAGAACAGATATGAAGATTATTTATGGACTGACTTGTGGAGCCATTTGCCTGCAGCACTAGCTGAGCTGGCTGTCGGCCTGCTCACCAAAGATTAACTTTGACGTTTCCTCCCATAAATCCGCTCTGATTAAATATTTGCTGGCTCATTTAATATGAATGTGAATTAATGGTCAGTCAGTGAGTTCATGTCCGCTCCAGTAATTGCCATGATTTGGCAAAAAGACCTCTGCGGCACCTCTTATGTGTTGCATTTCCTCTTCCTCTGTCTGTCTGTTTGTGCGTGTCACCTCTGATTGTTAGGTGTTAAGTTCACCTGTTCTCACCGGCTCTTAATAGCACAAACTTACAGCATGTGATAGGGATGTGCGCAATTAGTCATCTAGTCGGTTAGACATTGCTACCCTCGCCAGTCCACACCAGAAATACTACTCTGTTAAACTAATTACTATATTTTATTAATGTACAATGCTGGTAAATTGCGTCCTTATGCAGCCACTAGCCGGGAATACGGCCCCACCACTAATGCCACCGCTGGTATTAAGACTCATCTTTGTCCTACTTTAGAAGTTATAGTCATAACATTTTGTTCCTGTCGTCTGCTTTGGGATTCTACCAGCCACTTTCACTCTCTTTCTTTCTCTCTATCTAACCTCACACACAGCAAATTAATTTGAAATGGCACTATTCAGGGGAAAGAGGATGGTGGAACCGGCATTGAAAAGAAAATATCCAGTGTGGTTAGTTATGCTGACATTAAGCACTGAGAAATTATCAATCACATTATGAAACGCCTGTCAGCCTTGCTGTATATGCTGACTGACAGGAGATGTTTAGTTGGTTAACGTAGCATTCACTTAAGTTATTTTATGATTGTTGGGGTTGATTTTTTGGTGGGTTCATTCATGAATGTTACCTGCTCAATACATGCATACTTGGAGCCTGTGGGATCCATTGCTTGGTGTAATGAATGTTGATCCGGTGGAGAGAAATGTGATTATTGTTATTTAATGTAGGATATATTGTTTGCTCATTGGAATTTTGTTGTATTTATTATAAAGGTTTTTATTTATTTATGGTGGCTGTGCCCACGTTGTATATATTGATGATATGATAGTACTATAGTCTACTCTTCCAGCTCCATGTATGTGATTTAAAGGCTGTCACATTAATGCCTTCCTACTGCACGTGGGGAATGATTCTTTGCAGACTTGTAGCAACTCTCTATTTAAACTGGCTTCTCATTAACTCATTATATTTGCCTGATGAAGGTCTAGTACCGAAACGTTGCAAATAAATAAAATTGCAACTTAGTGTGCTGGAATTTATGTTTTCTACTTTTGGATACTCATCTCTACGGACCTGCCTCATGAAATAGATGTAAAAAAATGTTCGTGTCTATTTTGCGTCATCAGGTAAAAATGATCTAATACTCCTTTGTGCCTATGAGTACAGTGTCACAAAGCCACTAGCATTACAGCAGATCATAGTCTAGTCTCTTTTTACCTCATACAATATGAAGGATCCATACAACTGCAGCTAGATTCCATCCACACTCTTGTTACTGTTATTTGAACCTGCAAATTAGCCATGAGTTAAATTTCATTTTCGTAACTAGGGGGATATGAATTATTAACACCAGTAATTAACCTGTGTGTGGCCTTGTTGCATATGTGAGAGGATGCGTGGGTGGGTTTCACATGCACTCCATCCTTATGTCATATTCTCCTTCTTTCCACCCTCATAAAACCTGTTTACTGTGTTATCAGAGTAGATGTGCCTCACTACTTTTCAGCTATAGACACCATAGCATAACATATGCACACACAGCCCTAAAACAATGCTCTTTTGTACACCTTTGCTCACAGGACTTCAATCCCACCAAGAGGCCTCTACACATTTTCAGGATACTGTTTCTCTCCTCAGTGGATTAGGAGGCTGAGGCGTGTTGAAATATGCAGTTTTATTTTTCTCTTTAGACCTTGTAGCCCTGCAGGGAACCTAACCTAGATATGATTGAATTTCTCTGAGGCAAACAAATTGTTCAGTGTGAAACAAAGACCAGCTTTTTTTTTTTTTCTGAGAGTTGCTGCATCTCGTTCGTCCTGAAATATGAATCATTTCTCCATCGACAAAGAGCAAAATACTGACACAGGACTGAAAAATTGTCATGGTTACAGATAGAGTGTAGGAGTCACCTTTCAATATTGTTTATACAGCTGTTGAGCTGTAGAAATGAATATAAGGAATTATTATACAATATAACATTTATGTGAATCCTTGTGGAATAGAGGCTGGTCATGGGAATGAAAAGATTGCTTGCCAAGTTACATGAGAATATCCATACCACTCTTGTGTATGTCTGCTATATATAAAGCTATAGAGCCAGGGGCTTTTTAGCTTAGCTTAGCATAAAGCCCGACAAGAAGTAGTCTGGCGTGAAACAAATTTACATTTCGTTCTGTGTACGGATTAAACAAACTTGATATAACATGTTAATTAGCGAGCGTTAAAGGTAATTTTTAAATGAAGACAGAACCATGCTAAGTTAACTGGCTGCTGGCTCTAGCTTGGCTTCATATTTAGCATGCAAGCATGAGAGCGGTATCAATGTTCTCATCGAACGCTTGGCAAGGAGGCAAATAAACCTAAAATTTCAAACAATTCCTTAAAAATATTGCAGATGCATTTGTGCATGTTCTGAAACATAGTGTGTAATTTCTAAGATTTAATCCTATTCCAGCAATTAGAAACCATAACAGATTTATTTCTAGGACGGTACTACTTGTCTTAATTTGAAACTGTGAAGCCTGAACAAATTAGACTCTTTTATGTCTTTTATGTCCTCAGTATAAACCCCACTAACATGATTAACTTTGTTTTCTGTTAACTTTGACCCATGAGCTGCAACACCCTTCATTTATACCTCGTCTATCTTTAGGATTTGTCATTTTTGAAACTCAGTTTGACTCTGGAAAAGAGATTTGATCTTAAAATGAACAAAATACTGAATAATTAAAATGCCTACAAAGACATCTGTAATGAAACCCGTCCTTGCAGGTATTTAGAAGTTACTTTTGAGAAATCAGACAGGATGGGGATTGTCTTTGTGCCCAGATGCTGCAGCTTGAAGCTCATGAGCAGAATGTGATCCGTTTCTCCTTGAGGGTCCCAGACGAGAGGGGCGGAAAGCCAAGGGGGGTCTGCGGTGCCATTGAGGTTTCAGGTGACAAGCATTCTGTGGATTTGTCCCGGGGCAAACAGAGAGCCACAAGGGCGAGTGTCCCCTCGAACGTTCTGGAAAATTCCCTGACCCTGAGGAGTGTTGCGTTACACCTTCCAATTGTCGCCTCCCAGGCCCGTCCCAGAACAGAGACTCCTTTGAGAGAGGCTTCCAAAGTCAGGATTCAGTAGTAATCACTGTAAAATCTAATAATAAACAGAATTATGATAAGAAAAAGACAACCCTTTACAATATGAGCTCTAGATGTAATTGATGAGTACAGTTCTTCAACCTCTGCATGCTTTGAAAATCAAGTGAGCCTGTTTGCTCTGATTCTGTCACCCATTCATACAAATTATCATCACCTTAGATCATCTTGAATAATGTTTTTAATTCCCTTCTATTCCCACACACATTAGTTCCCAAACACATCAGTGGAAATGCCGCAGTGTAGAGCTGTGTTTATTTTATCCCCTCTGCCAGCTTAACCTAATTTATTAAAGATAATGTGGAACTCTGAGCTTGTTGCAGTGAAGCTTTTCTGACTGTTGACTGGTGCACAAACTAACAACAGAGATAAGTTTCCTAGATACTGGATGGATTTTAATCCTATTTTTTATGTCTTTGCTTATCTGTTGTGTAACTTCTATGTAACAGCAGAAGAATTATAACAAATATTGTTTGAATGGACAGCTTCTGTGTCTCTGATGGTACTTCTTGTGAGTTTTTCCTTGCAGGTGATGCATCCTTTTGTAACCTGCTGATGTTATTTCTCCTTTTCCATGTGCGTTAAAGCCTACTCAGGTGTTCACTTCTTCTTCTTTTTTTTGTCTGTGTGTCTTTACTGCAGATGGTGAGTCACGCCCTCTCTCTCTCGGATCGTCTCAGTGAATAGCCGGGCCGCACAAAGGGGAAAAGAACTAAGCTCAGCCGCTAAAAAAAACCCTCTTCCTTCTGCACAGCGTGGGAGAAAGTGCCACTGCTGAGCTGGTGTGGCATCTCTGCAGGCTGGAGTGAAAGCAGTGTTGAGCGATCATCTTTCACTCTGAGCCACTCACCTTTCATGCTGTGGCCCCAGAGCCGACTCTCAGGGCTGGACTGTCAGCGGGAACGCAGAGAGACTCAGGATCAGGCAGGGCTGCACAGTGCACAGGTGTGAAGCATCTTCCTCATGAGACCGATGAGGCATACATGAGGGAAAAGTCATGCTATTGTTTGGATGACCTTCATACAGGATTAAGTACACTTTGACAGACTTTTTTTTCCCGTTTGAGTTCGGGCCCAGTGGGGCTCTGTGGTGGGAACAGGGAGAGCCGGTGTTGATTCTTCTGCTTTATGAGTTTTAATCACCAGGAGAGTGTGTCTGAGTGGCAGGGGGAGCCAGCATGGCCAAGCCTCTGCTGAAGATACAGCGTTATTTCCGCAGGAAACCTGTCCGATTCTTTTCCCTCATCCTCCTCTATCTGACCGCCGGGAGCCTCGTCCTCTTGCACTCTGGCTATGTCGGGGACAGCAGCGCCGGAGCCAGAGGGGGCCGGGACTCTGTGGTAGCTTCGGAGATGGGCAGGCGGACTTCGCTGTCAGACGCTCGGGGGCTTGGCATCATGAGCAGAGTGTTTAAGGAGACGCGCAGATCTGGACGGAGGTACGGCCCTCCATGGATGAAAAAGGCCAGACAGGAGGGCCAAGAGATGCGCAGGGGGGGAGACTACACCAATAACTGGAACCGTGCACTTAAAGGACGCAATGCCAAAGACATAGACGATGGAAGAGGTGGGTTATACCAAGACTGCATACTTAAATACACTGATGTCTCAAATTCAAAAAGATCACATTACTGTTTGTGGTGGTTGAAATTTACCATTGAGTTCTCTTGTTTAAAGAAGTACAATAATTCAATGCAGTGTGTACTGCATGTTAGCAAAGGCATAAATAGAATTTACTGGCACAATAAATTAATTTTGAATGAGGGAAGAATGACAATATGTTCCAACAATTGCAAAAATAATTGCAGTGTTGCAACATTAATGACTGCTCCGTGTAAAATATTACCAAAAACAATTATTATAATAACCTCCCATTGTCTTTGTCATAGTGACATAACTCAGCAAATTGTAAGAAATTAAAGCTTTTTTTCTTAGAGGCTGATTTGTTATGCACATCCACTGACAAGCACATAAGCAGCACGTGTCCCTCCAACACTTCATGTTAATATGAAATTGATTCAAAGTAGTCTCTGATTACAAACTGCACCATGTTAATGACTGACAATTTCTAGTTGTAATTGGTCATGTAGGAAATCTCTTGAGAGTGGAGAGAGATGATGATTATGATTAAGCCCACTGTCTAGCCTCTGAGTGAATCCTTCAGCTGCAGCTTTGCTCTCTGCTGCTCGGCCACTCACAATCACAACATCTAAATGATTTCATGACTGCAGGATTCAATGTTTCCTCTATGTTGATGTTGGAGCGGACGCCCGCCGCTGTTATGTTTCTGCCGCCACGGTATCAGAAATGGGGCAGACGCACAATGTAGTCACGGTTGCCTTTTAAATGATCCTGCCGACATATTGCACCCCCGTTGGCTGCTGCTCACATTGCAATTTAACAACAAGTAGAACTATTCAGGGGTTATTGGGGCTGTCCAGTTTAACTCCACATACTGTTGTGTTGATGTAGCTTATTGTCAAGGGTTGTTCGGACAGGCCTGCCCCCACTGCTAAAATAAATCCTAGAGGAAACACTGGGATTTACAGATTTATCTGTCTGTTTATAAACTGTGCGACTACACAATCCTGTCAGAGGAGGTTTACATATAAACTGACTGGCATGAGACATCCTGTCAAATCACACATTTGAGAGCACAGTTCAGGGACAGGAAGTGTCTGTCCAGAGCTGACGTCTCTGACCTTGGACGGCATGAATATCCTGCTTACTTATTCCTTTCCAAACGAAACATGATCAAATTAGCTGATTAGAGGATATCATTTACTCCCTTGGTTCACTTGTCCTTTCTTTGTCTCTGCTTTTCTTAGCCTGTCAAACACTCTATGCACTGCTGGATGAAGTATAAATGATTTAAAGCAAAGTCAACAGTGGATATCTCCGACATGTAGTCAAGGAAAGGCCTGATTGTCAGTCCAAACCTTCCTGTGACAGTAGTACCAGCCTCCTCTCCTCATAAAGAAACACAACAGAAAATAGTAGCAGTTGTGGAAGAAGTACTCCAATTCTTTAATTAAGTACAAATAGGTTTAACAGTGTTAAAATACTTACGGGTAAATATCCATCTTTCAGAACTTTACTTAAGTAAAAGTATCCTCATCATTTAAAGTACTCAGAATAGGTCCTTTCAGAGTAACAAGCTATTATATTGTTGCAATATTATTACTAATGCATTAACATGTAAGTAACTATTGTAGCTGGTCGAGGTGTAGCTAAGTTCAACTACTTAATGTACTGTTGAGCAGTTGAATCTATAACAATGCATCATGTTTTAAAGGTCCAGTGTTTAACATTTAGGAAGATCTATAGGTGGACATGGAATATAATATTCATAACTGTGTTTTCATTAGTGCATAATCACCTGAAAATAAGAAGTGTTATGTTTTTGTTAGCGTAGAATGAGCCACAGGTCGCCTTCCTTTGAGGCCGCCATGTTGAACCGCCATGTTTCTACAGTTTTTTGTGCGTTTTGTGGCCACCGTAGTTTCTCCTTCACGCTTGGAAGGTAAATGTGAAGGGAGGGAGTTGCAATCTCCAACTACCACCACTAGATGCCACTAAATCCTACGCACTGGTCCTTTAAAAACATGTATGTACAATCTTATTCTGTAAAGTAACTAGAAATTACAGCTTGTCACATATATTGGAACATAATAAACTCTAATGTGTAGTGGAGTAGAAATATAAAATAGCATAAAAATGGAAACACTCAAGTAAAGGACAAGTATCTTGTCGTTATGTATAGTGCTTGAGTGACTCCACTTATCCCTCCAGTGGGAAATATTCATTCCAGCAGTTGGAAACATCTGGTCAAGGTAAGACTCAAGACTGCCGGGGAGACGACTAAACTGGAAACTAGAACATGCTATTTGTTTGTTTCTAGTACCATAAATAACTCAAGGATTTTAGTATAACTCTGTCGTGGTTATGTGGGTTTTTGGTTTCCCTCCAGAGCGCACTACAGGCAGGTGGAGAATCTAAACTGCCCTTAAATATCAAACATAAGTGCGAGTGACTGCTGCTCTGTCTGTGTTAGTGCTGTAAAATGATGAGGCTGCTTTCCTCATTTTAAACTCCCTCTACTCCAGGACATAAGCCGACCTCTCTGAGCCTGAAGAGAAAATAAATAAGTGATTCTGTTACACAAACTCTGATTCACAGTAAAGCGCAGTACCCTGCTGCGCATTAGAGTGTACAATATTAAAGAACAATGTTTTTCTAGTATAGTTGCAAGCTATTTTTTTCCAATTCAAGGCCAGCAAAACAAACATGTTTACAGTGTGAATTCAAGATGATCAAATGAAGGTCTCTCGCTCCTCCTCCTCTCCTCCTTCTCTGAAACACTAACCTCACAGGACTGCGGCTGAAAGTGATAATAGAGTAATTAGTAGCTTCAAAGCATTCATTTGCTCCTATACATCGAGCACCACTCATTTCTCTGCAGTCTTAACCATCTCTGGAACCCTGTTATGTTCGACTTTTTGTCCTTTCCTCTCCTCTCACTGCAAATGCACCTCATTCTTACTGGCTCTGAATTTAATTTGGAGAGAATATTGCAGCATAAGTTGCAGACTGCAGCACATAAACACATTTGCACTGTGCGCTGCAGAACCACAGAAGCATATTGTACTGAAGGTAAAACAGGAGTAGACTGGGGACAGAATAAAGCTGAAACACTGTTGACATTAGTTAATGTGATCCTCGGGCTACGGGGAGCTTATTGTGCAACGTTTGTATACTGAAAGTATAAAACAGACTAGATAGTAATAATATGGACACATCAGTTGCATCTGCTGTTTCATCCTTTATCCCCATGTCATACTAAGCAGGAATATACTCTTCAAAATGAGGTTCCAGCTTCATTTAAATCAGCATTTCCCTTCATCATAAAGCAGATTATATTCCAGCTCAACAATAGTTAGGAGAAAGATTACAGCCGAATCCTGCAGCACACCACATGCTGCTCAAATGCAGGCCTTTAGACCATAACAATTAAAGTAATGCAGGGGACCAGGACTCATTTAGCTATTAACAGAGGGCTCAGAGGGGTAATGGCACAGCACAGATGGCGAGAGGTTTGTTTGTTAAAGGTACAGTGGAGCCCGTGCAGCTCGGTTAGACAGGCGAGCAATGTTTTAATGGGAGGGAAGAAGCTATTGAAGGGTTGCTGCCTCTGCAGAGGTTCATTGAAGCCCAACCCCCACACACTTCTGAAATAATGCAGAGATGACTGCCACTACAGTTACAGGCCACTAGAAGGGGGTGTGTGTCTTCATAAATAATTAAAGATTCTGCCCCAGTTTGGACTCCTCATGTGCTCTTTTACAACACTGTGCATATGAAGAAGATACTGTTGCTGATAGTATTTACTTTATAGGCATTTTATTTATTTTTAAGTAAATTCTAGTAACATCATATACTGTATATAATAATAATAATACATGTATTTGATATAGTGCTTTAAAAGGTACTCAAAGGTTGTGTGTGTGTGTGTGTGTGTGTGTGTGTATATATCTGTGTATGTTATTTTAAAAATGTGTTTGTTTTTTTGTATAACTAATAACTATAACATAGCTGATTTTTCTCTTTTCAGCAAAGTATATCGGCTGCTACATTGATGACACACAGAAAAGAGCGCTGAGAGGAGTTTCCTTTTTTGACTACAAAAAAATGACTGTATTCCGTTGCCAGGACAACTGTGCAGAGAGGTATGAGAGCAACGGAAACATCCATTAAATATCCTCCTTTTTCCTGTGTGTTTTATTGATTGTAATAAAGTAGAACTCGTAGTGAAGAAGAGCTGATGTGGAAATCAAAAACAGTGACAGTAATGAAAATATCGGTACTCTGTGGTGTTTTACTGAGCTATATTGGTTAACGGTTATTCACCAATGCAGGTTTGTCATAGATATTAACATTGACATCTTTTAGATCTACAACCAGTCAGAGTAATGAAACTTGCATGTTTGTACGTTTTGTAGCAGGTAAAAAGAGGCAGCCTTATCACAAACGTTCTCAAATTATAAAACACAAGGTGGAATAAGTAAGTAGGATCCACTTAAATTGGTTTCTGAAAACATTTGAAATTGAGTCTTTTTGCATCCTTTTCTGTGTGTAGGCAAATATTTTGGCCAGATGCATCTGACAGTATCTTTTTAAAAACCTGTATTCAAGACTGCAAACCATTTGACCATTCTTTGACCTTGTGCTCATTACCTGCTTTCCCCTCTGGATCCAGTCTTGCATCCAAAACCTTTCGGATGAACTGAAGAGCTGCGAGTTAGGCTTTATCGTCAGTGCTCAACCTCAACTAGGTCCCAGAAATCTTGTGGAGGGATTTCCAGGATAATTTAGGTTGTTAGTCTATTTGTACCCGTGGTTTTGGATAATGTTCAGATGTCTGCATGGTCATAAGAACACCCTCATACAACTACGCTAAATTGTAAGGAGACCTGCTACAGTTTATTCTTTTTAAAATTATTTCTATGTACATAAAAAAACATCTGCTGATTATAATCCACATTTTTGTCTTACTTATATCTATATTGGCATAAAAAAATCAGTGTTCAGCTGATTCCTGGTGTGTGTGCGAGGTTAAAACAGTTAAGAATGCTCCCGTTTTCAAAGCATTGATCTCTCTGCTCCTCTCCTCCATTTTTCTCCTGTTTCCTTACATCCTGTCCCCCTCTCTCTGCTACCTCACCCATCTTTCTCTCACCTCTTTTTTTCTCCCAGAGGAATACCAGGGACGGCTTTATCGAATGCACTGAATTACACCCATCACTGATTCACAGAGCGGAGAATAGGAACAGAGAGAGAGAGAGATGCTTGTTTTTAGCCTCCTTCCTCCTCTTGCTTCTTGCTTCTCCCAGAGCAGCCAGTTAATAAAAACAGACAAACAAATGAGGGGGCAACAGCACATAGCAGCACACCAAGGTTTGGGTTTTGATTGACAGCCCAGGGGATTTGTTCTGTGTGAGGGGCGTGTTAGACGTCTAATTGCATCCAAAGGGCCTCCTGGGAGTCAAATCCTCCATGAAGAAGAGACGTTGTGTGATGGATTCAGTTTCAAGTATATGTATAATTGGTTTTGCCCTAAAGCCTCACAGCAACTGTAATTTCTCTCATCTTCACGTTATTCCAGAGTAATATTCGGATGTTTTCTCATCTTTACTTCAAGATCTTCTGTGCATCATTTGTTTGGTTCTCTTACTCTGCGTGATAATCTGTATTGCCCTGTGAAGGATTAAGACACATAATGAAGGCTTAGAGGCACTCACTCAAACCTCGCTGTCTTCCTTTACTAATGATGCTAATCCTTCTTCTTTTCTTTTTCCCCCCAGAGGTTACATGTATGCAGGTCTGGAGTTCGGAGCTGAGTGCTACTGTGGCCACAAGATCCAGGCGCCCAATGCTTCAGAGAGTGAATGCAATATGGAGTGTAAAGGAGAGAAGAGCAACCTGTGCGGAGGAGCCAACCGACTGTCCATCTATAGGCTGGAGCTGAGCCAGGAGTCAGCGCGCCGCTGTGAGTCTGACACTCTTCAACAAAAACAAAACAAACTCTCCTGGGGGGTTCATAGGAAGCTGCTCCACACAGGGGCTATCAAGTAAACACAAGAGAGCACTGTCATGTTTCAAATTTCAAAAATGTCTTTCAATAATTTCAATAAAATATGAATTCGATATTAAAAAACAGACCTGAGTATACCTCAGAGGCACAAAGGTGCTATTTGGAACCAGAAATGTAATGGGCCCGGCTGTTTTGAGGAGAAATATTTGTTTTATTTGGTTCAGTTGGGAGCTGGCTGCTCTGTTGTGTTTACCTCTTTCCCCCGGAGAGCTGTGCTACCTACGTAGCCCAGCCAGCCGTGGTCTGCATCCTAAACACTCCCCGCCTGCTGCTGGGGGAAATTAAAGATAGTCTAATAATACTAATAATAATAATACCTTGTATTGAAATAGCACTTTTCAAGGGACCCAAGGACGCTTTACATGTACTGTAAGAGACATTAACACAGACCATAGGCCTTGTTGAACAGATGGGTTTTTTTGGGGGGAGGATTATCAGAAATGAAAAAGACTGTTGCACATCTGCATGTTGTGGTAGTTTGTTAAAAAAAAATGTTGTAAGATATTGGGGGTTTTTTAGGTTTTTAAAAGCCCCAACCATAAGGTGAGGAAATTTCCACTTGACTTGCTCTTTCTTTTTCTCATCTATCTATTACTTCTTAGAATCTGTTAATACAAAAGGAGACCGTTGGTGTACACATGTGAGATGAATATTTGAAGGTCCAGTTTGTAACATTTAGGAGGATCTATTGGCAGAAGGGGAATATAATACTCATAGGTACTATGTTTCCATTAGTGTATAATCAACTGAATATAGGAATCGTTGTGTTTTTGTTACCTTAGAATGAGCTGCTTTTATCTACAGACACAGCGGGTCGCCTGCCGTGGTGTCTGCTATGTTGAACAAACCATAAATTGGCTCTAGATAGGGCGTTTTTTTTCACACTTTTCAGCCACCCTAGTTTCTCCCTCATGCTTGGAAGAGGATGGAGAAACGAGTGAGTTGCAGCTACACCGCAAGATGCCACTGAATCCGACACGCTCGACCTTTTAAGCTAATTTAATCTTACCCTCCTAGTCCAGTGCAGTGTTGTTTGTTTGTTATTATTTTCATTTCTGCTTTTCCCCCTTCTGATGACTATCTGTCAGACTGCTGAATATGCTCTTCATGTTTGTGTTTTCACCCCTGCCCCCGATTTCCGTCATGTGAGCCCTGCTCAGAACACCAAAGAGGAAACGCAGGAAATGTGTTGAGGTTGCTGTTCTGTGGTTAATGCTACTGACAGACCTGTATTATCCTTACATGATTGTTTTCAGAGATCATGCACTGAACTTAAACTACGGGGGATTAAAGAGAACATGTACATGACATTAAAAATGCAACTTTTAGTCAGCCAAAAAGGTCAAAAATGAATAAAACATTAGACCCACACACAACTATGGCTAATTTGCAAAGGCCGTTACCTTGTTTTAAAGCCTCATAGCATTGGTAGAATAGCTTAACATTCCTGAGAGTTGTGAGGTTCTGTTCCGGTAGAAAGAAATAACTCAGATGCGCAGCCCCATTTACATATTTTATTCAGTGATACCATGATGTATATATAAAGCAAGCTGTCTTCATCATAGTATCTGTCACAGTAAAAAGCTTTAAGTGGTTCGTTTCCCTCCTCCGTTATTAATGCTTCACATGTAGAGAGGCAGCAGAGACGGCTTTATATGTATATCAGCACGGCTGACATGTTGACAGGCTGAAATAAATGTGAAGTGGATGTTTGTGTGACTCAAAACTGTAGTTTTCAACCTCTGATGCAGTGATGCTGCTCACAACCTTCCTGTCACAGGCTGCATTTGATAAACAGTACAACCATGAATTAAAACCACTTTCTCTTTTCTGGTTGTTTGGTTTTATTAATCACTCTTAAAAGTCTTGAGGCTGAACACGAATAATTGCCCAATCATTCTGTAATTAAGCTAAGAAGTGTGTCAAATTGGAAATATCCAAAATATGAAACATCTTTCAGATCAACTTCCTGTGATAGAAAGAAGCAGCTTTTCCCTGCTGTTGTGATATATGGTCTAACAGATCAGAGTGTGGGCCTGAGGTTAAAGGTCATCAACACACTGCAGGGATGAAAATGCTGCTATTGGTTGAGTCCTCTGGCAGGTCAGGGTCTCAGTAGACTGGGGGAGAGTCCCAGTGGGATCTCTTCATCAGGGGTCAGTGAATACAGGCCAATCGGACGGAAGCTGTGTTCAGTAACCATGAAACTGGAGTGCATTGTGGTTATTTTTTCCTGTTGGTGAATAACATTTCTGTCTGTTTCAGACGGCAGCGCCATTTTCAAAGGCTGTTTCCACAGGCCAGACAATGTCACCCTGGCACTTCCTTTCAGCGCAGTCATCCAAAACATGTCTGTGGACAAATGTGTGGACATGTGCACGGAGAGGGTGAGGGGATCTGTGTATTCATGCATGTACGTTTGTGCACGTGAGTGTGTCTTTGTTGTGTAACAGTTGTTTTTATTTCAGGAGAAATCACTGGCCGTCCTGGCTGGAGATCGATGTTACTGCGGCTTCCCGACTCCTCTCTTCTCCCTTCACGAGCTGGAGAACGAGGACATGTGTCTCAACCGCTGCCACGGGGAGGAGTTTGAGAGCTGCGGGAACGACAAGTACTTTGTGGTGTACCAGACGCAGGTTCAAGGTAAAAAAATTGGCTAACTCTTGGTAGCACATAGTGTTGGGAAAGCTTTACAAGCTGCCAATTACTTCAGACTGGAAGGAGTTGAATTACAGCAAAATCACCCTTGAGAGAAATCAAGTTGGCTTAACTAAAGTTAGAAAAAGTAGTTCTGACAATGTACTATACATGTGATACAAAATTATAATTAAATATAATACAAAAATGCCACTCAATTGAGTTAATTAGGGATACAACTTTTTTTATATTTATATTTGGGTACTTTCCAATACAGAGTATTGATATGAGTACTTAATAATACCCTTACAGCTCTAATAATGGCTTTGAAAACATGTTTAATTTTCATCAGATGTTCCTCACTTTCTGTAAAAAATTGAATGTTGCTAATGTTTTTGTGAAAGTTGCTAAAATATCTCCAAACTGCTGACATTGTGTCTCCTCCACATACTTACTTAACTAAGGAGAGGTTACGTTGCACTGCTGTAAAGTGGTATCGATGTGGGTATCGGAGTAGTTTTATGATTTTGGGACCCGGTACCAAGTGCCCACTTGAGTTAGTTAGTGTCATGTGTTTGCCTAAGTAAGGCTGAGATTTGGGAGGTTTATCCATGATGACGCTGTCACTGTATGAGCAAAGGTCAAGTGTGGGGTGGTGGTTGCCTGACGAATGCATTGGCAGGGCATGCCTTCACAGTCTGGGTGAAAGAAAAAGGGGGCGAGGTTGGTCAAAGGGGGTTCGATTACAGTAGAGAAGCAATGGTAAAATTAAGAATATATATTTTATGGGCCATAACTTATAGTTTCAGTAGTTAACTACACAAAAGATGTAAAAAAAAAAAAAAAAAAAAAGGTAATTTAAGTACTTGAATCACTATGCAGATAGATATAATTGAACTACCAGTAAGCTCCTGCAAAATGTAGATGAGCTGCTAGTTTAGTGCACCACTCCCCAACACTGTCAACACAGCACCAGCAGTATGTACAATCGAAGGCATGTCAGCAAGTGTCACCCACACCCAGAGTACAGGAAATACATAACATTGATGCCAATAAGGTGGTTTAAGTGTGAAAAGTTGCATGTCAAGGTGTCCTTGAGAATGAAACTGAACCCCAAAGTGTGACCCTAAGTTACTGTGTGTGAATGCTCAGTTTCCGTTCTGGTGAGCAGTTGGCACTTTGCATGGAAAGTGTGTTGCATGTATTGTACCAGTGAGTGGTCAAAAGCCTAAAAATATAAGTAAGCTATATAGTCTTCATATCTAAGTACTTCCATAAGAAATGTCAACCGTCTTTACAAAAAGCATATTTGTTTATGTTTAGCAAAATAATATACATCATTAACACGTTTTATTATTCACAACTATCGCCTCAAAAGGCATTGATTGAATGTGTCTCTTGTCATATGTGTTGTTGTGTGCGTTGTTTCAGTGTGCGAGACAGCTGTGGCTTGGATCAGCAAAAAATGAGAGAGTCCAGTAAACAAAAAAGCCGGTTTTAATGCTGTGAAGCAACAAAAAACAAAACAAGTGGCAGCAGGAAGGGAACTTTATGCAACAGAAATTATTATATAGCCTATTGTCTATTTTACTTTGTTTTATTTTTAAAATCTCAACCAACACTTTAACGTCAGTGAGTGGGCTTTATTGGGCAATTTGAGAGGAATTAAGCTAAACCACACACAACAAAAAAGAATACCATATCCATATCCCTGACCTTTCTCTCTCTTTAATGGTGTTAAATGTCTTTACCACAAACTTCCTATGTTTCAACATAACAACGCTTCCTCAGCACATATTATTAAACAACTACGTTCATAAAGAGTGACTCATTTTCTATTTGAAGCTTGATCAACTTGAGCAACTTGTCAAATATTATGCAGTCAGAGATTATTGTCGTCACCCAACCTTTTACCGCAATGTCGCAAATTATGACACATTATTTACAGCACATCAATAATTTAGCTTGTTGGTTTGTTTTGTCAGATAATCGCTGCATGGACCGGCACTTCCTCCCTACTCGTGCTAAGCAGCTAATTGCCCTCGCCAGTTTCCCTGGAGCCGGCAACACCTGGGCTCGCCACCTCATAGAGCTCGCCACCGGCTTCTACACCGGCAGCTATTACTTTGATGGCTCCCTTTACAATAAAGGTATGCTTCGATGTTTATCTGACACGATTCTCAACATATTTATTCATGAATACACCTCCATGGATTAAATATACTGTTGTTTCACAGGATTTAAAGGGGAGCGGGACCACTGGCGGAGTGGGAGGACGATCTGCATTAAGACACATGAGAGCGGCAGGAAGGAGATCGAAGCCTTTGACTCTAGCATCATCATGATCCGAAACCCCTACAAAGCCCTCATGGCAGAATTTAACAGAAAATATGGCGGCCACATTGGATTTGCCTCCCAGGCCCACTGGAGAGGGAAAGGTGAGCCCCTATATTTGTAACAGTGCATCATGCATAATATGTTAAAAAAAAAAAAAAAGTAGTAGTTGTTTTGGTAACTGATATCAATTATTTAATATATGAAATTATTTTAAATATTTTTTAATTTACAAGGCAAAATTTAGCAATCTATGAGCTTATGGCCAAAATCTAGTTTTAATTTCAGTCATCGCCCCATCCTGTATACTAAAACAAACACAAATTGATGCCTGAACACAACCTATAAGCCCTCCAGCCTGACTCAATAAAATACCCACCAAGAGTATGTGGTAATATTAAAAAAAAAACTGGGAAATGGTCAACGATGATGTAGAATTACATGGAAATGAGCCATAAACCCTGGGCTATTTTGTTGGTTTTGACCTTATAAACCAATGTGGCTGAGCACAAGGTTTTTGAAGACACTGAGTCTGTTGTCAAAAAAGGAGAACTGAAACGATTAGTAAACCAAACCACAGTTGCTCTTGTTAGTCACATCATGAGCTGTGTCACCAGGTAAAACCAGCTTGTTCCTTAGTGATATCAGCAATCTCTTCCAATTCTTCACCAGACAAATTCCCCAAAATGTTAAACGCTTTCTTTAAGAAAGCGTTTGAAACGTGGGAACATTTGTGCATTGATGTATGTGTATCCAAGAAAAACTTCCTCTTAAGATTCAGCCCAGGAAGTATAAACAAAATCATCGTATAGTTAATGTAATAATTAGCTGCTCGATTTACAATTTTCAGTATTCATATTTTATATTAAGGCAGTGCACTTTTACAGACTTAATTTGTCCCTCTTTGATGAATTTGCTGCTTGATGTCTTTGGACATTTTCCATTGTGCAACTGTTTAATAATGTGTCAGCACAATTCAGTCAAGTTAAATTCCTCTCGAGTCTACCCGATGATTAAAAGAGGTGTTATAAAAGGTCATTGTTCATGGTCTAACTAAAGAAAGGAAACCTAAAGAAATGAAACCTTTGGGTCCAGTAACTCTTAATCTATAAACTTTTATGCCCTTTGCTGAGATATTGTCATATTTCATGCATATTCTCCTTCTCTCAGTGCGTTCGCCCACCAAAGTGGCTCTCGGTAACCATGGCAACTGGTTTTGTCTTGTCCGCGTACCGTCTCTCTGACTTTCTCTGAGGTTTAATCGATTTTCCAGAGGCTGGAGAGTTGCCGACCCAGCAGTTGTCTTGCTTTGTGAAAACATCAGCACATTTGGCCTGCCGTTTCCAATGAATGCTTATTCCTTCTGTTGTTGGGGAAATGATGCAGTGACATCAGTGAAGAGAAAGGCTTTATGACAGCTGCCACTTCGAATACAGAGAGAGGATCCAGTTTGAGAGTCAGTGTGACATTGTGTTCGGGGGCACCGCATGTACGATATGATGCACGCACCTCTGCGGAGGGAGACTGTGGGGCTCGGATGATGTTACAGACACTGGTGCCTTCCAGTGTGGCCCCATAAAGTCAACTCAGGGGCAAGAGAAACTTACTTTGGAGGGCATGTCACTTTACAAAGCACACTCTGGTCTTTTCCAGTGGTGGATTAAATTGAAGGCTCTTTCCAAAAAACCCTTTTATTTGGGTTTTTTTTAAACTCTGCTAACAAGAAACGAAATCTAACTAATATTCAGTAAATCCTGAGCAGGATGTTAAACTATTTTGGTTCCATCTTATTTTAAACTCTTCTTTTGAAACAGCACAGATGCAGTTCCTGTGTGTCTATACAGCAGGTTCTGTTTTTTTATGCAGTATATAATATTCTGTCCACTGTGGTACTAAAATTGCCTCTCTCATTGGTTTCTGAGACAGCACTCCAAAGTCAGCAGGCTTTAAACTTTAACGACCACCTCTCCGAACAGTAAATATGCACGCTAATGCAGCACAGCTCCTGCCAGCCGCTGCTTTTATGGGCCAGTAGATTATCAATGACTAAAAGATGCAAGCAAAGGATTTTCCTACGGTACCTCTGTAGTTTGACTGACAATCAAGAATGTCCAAACATTTTAGGAACACCTTAATGCTCCGCTGCTATGAATTGCAACAGACTCCTCGAGTTTAATGACATCAGCGTTTGGCTGTCATGACTTTCAGTTCCCCTCCATTCACACTTTAATTTGCTATTTATTTTACTTCACTTTTCTTTGTTATCAGACTAAAAGAGGAATTTGAGACTAGATGCTAGAAGTCTGTCAGTTTTACTCCTTAAACCAAAACTATTTAACACATTTCTTTACAGCTGCTGTTTTCATATACATTGTGATGTGTTGTATACATGTGATTAACTATGTGACCATTTGAGAGCTGATCTCAAACATTTATACTGTTCACACACTTCACACTTCACAGATTTCTTGATAAATGTGATATATCTGTTTTATTCTTCAATTTTAGTGGAGAAATTACGTATAATTCTTAAAAGTTAGATGAATACAGGCCCAGTAAGACGAGCTGAGTGGTTTACATTTGCAGAATATTTATTTAGTACACTGGCCACCTTAAAGACCTTGCTTATTTGTTTTTCTGCAGAGTGGCCCGAGTTTGTGAGGAACTATGCCCCTTGGTGGGCGTCCCACACGTTGGACTGGCTGAATTATGGGAAGAATGTCCATGTGGTCCACTTTGAGGATCTGAAGAGGGACCTGTTCTCCAAGCTCAAGGGGATGGTGCAGTTTCTGGGTTTAAAGGTTTCTGAGGACCGCCTGCTCTGCGTTGAAGGCCAGAAGGATGGAAACTTCAAGCGATCGGGGCTGCGAAAGCTTGAATATGACCCCTATACCCCTGAAATGCGAGCTAACATCAATGAACTAATCAGAACGGTAAACGCTGCCTTGAAGAAAAGGAAGATGTCTGGAGTTCCAGATGAATATATGCCAAGATGATAAATGTGATCTTCTCATTTCCCCTTTTTTCTTCCTTTAATTGAACGGTTCTATCAACAGACATTTTTTGTAGGATTACATGACTGGAATAGTTTTTTCAATTATTTTTCTGTGAAGTCACATAGGTTGAAGCTGTAGTCAGAAGAAATTCTCTTAACTCTCCTATTTTCACTTTTTATTCATCCTTTTTAATTTTCTGTTGAAATTCAGCAGCTTCATGAATTAATAGAAGATGCAGTTTTAACTGGGGAGGTTTGTTTTTCTCTTTGTCTGAATGAAAAGCACTTCTTATCCTTGCTATGCACATGTGCTGTGTAGGCATGTGCACATGCCTTAACATTAAGAAGGTACAATAGCTGTGACTACAGAGAGGCTCATCTGACTGTGCTTGGTGATCTGTTGCCAGTGACAACAACGTTTGACCTAAAAAATATTATACAATACTGCAAAGTGTGTTTTATGACTTTATTTTGTGCATAAGAGAAATAACAATTATGAAAAATCAAAACATCAAAATGTATGAATCTTCTGCTGCTATCAAAGTTACAGAACAATACTATTTTATACATACTGAAAACGTTAAAACGTTTAGCCCTTTGTCGGAGGGAAAAATGCAATATGCAGGATATAACTACCTGATGACGATACTGTGTGTTTCCAAGTTTTTGCAAGTTACTCAACTTACTGTATGTAAGAGAAATCATGTTTTCAATGATGAACAGGTAAAGAACTCTCAGCTCCTCGTATTCAAGAAGATGAACAATCCCTCTTGAAGGCACTGACTCAAGGAGAGAAGAGGATTTATCTCGACACCGTTTATTTATCTCCGTGTGCAGTGCACATGTTGACTAATTTGGATGTGAATATGTTTTCCTAACACTGGACTCAATGCAGAAATCCAAAAAGCACTACACTGTGCAACACTTGCCCCAAAGATCACTGAGGAATTAGGCATTACACGTGTTATAGATTGGAGGTTACCTTTAGCAGTAGTCATCGTTATAGATTTATTTTAAGACAGTTAATCATACTGAATGTGAAAACAGTTTTTTTTATTTTTATTGCTTTCTTGTAAGAAGAGCTATGAAACAGTTAAAGCTGTTGGTCATTTTACTCTTCATAATTTAAAAAATCTCCACTAAAGTGTGAAAAATCCTGCTCAGACTTTATAAGCAGCACGTCTTATAACGGTACTCAATGTGCTATGCCATATGCTTAAAAATAAACAAATATATGAATAAATAAATACATGAATATATAAATAAATAAAACACTGGTGACTGAGAGCCAGAAAACATGAACTGACTTCCATTTTCAGTATGATATAAATATATTTTTATAGTGTGTGCTCACACATCTACGATATTTGTATTGCAACAAGCAAACGGGAGAAGTTGTTTCTATTTTTAACACATGCTTTAAACTTTATTGGCTCTTGCTTTCATTGACAAGCCGGCACTTTCTGAACATGGTGTCACATTTGAATGTATTTTCTATGGAATGAATGTAATGTGATAAGGCCCAATAAATGACTACATAAAATGAGACGCTGTGGTTGGTTGTTTTCTTTTACAGATAATTAATTAAGATGACTAGTAAGAAGGTGCATTTTTGAAGATAAAGGAAAATGTATAGTAGATGACAGGAAGGCTGGAAGTCAGTCGGAGTTGGTGGGTGCTGAGAGAAAGTCAGTCTTTATAATAATTAGTAAATGCTAAATGCATGACATTCATGGTTTTTGCATGAATTTGAATGGCCAGGATCATTTATAGTTTAATCGTTATTATTTGTAACTTTTTAGCAGCCATGAATACCAGTGAACACGTGTAAATCCCAGTAAAAAAAAGTCATACGTTTAGATTTTAGGGGGTGCTGCAGCATCCTCAGCACCACTACTTCCAGCACCGTGGTAGATGGATCTCCCTACAGTCACCCCAGGCTCCTCCATTGTTAGGTAATTTATTTCAGAAGCATTTTGTGTTACCTTTGTTGAATTTCTTTTTACATCCCGACAGAAATCAACAAATCAAATGCTCTGAAAGAAAAAAAATGCCTGTAATAAGCCCAACCTATCTACCTGCTTACCTCCACACACTCTGCCCCCTCCCCTCTGCACCTGTGTGTAACCGGAGTCTTCCACAAGCTGAAAAGGCCAATATTGCCAAAACTACCAAGAATGGCAGAGAAAGCCTGTGTTTACCCCACTATTTCATGGCAAAATGGCTGCTGTGAAAACCGTCTGTTGTCTGTGTGTTTGTGGCTTCGACTGAGGCCCTTTCAGATTTACACATGGTCCAATGGTAATTATGAAAATATTGATTAATGCAGCTTTAGTTTCACAGTGACTCTCTGCCAGTGTCTCGTGTAACCTTTTGCGGTCTGTTTCTTCCCCTATCGTCTGCTGTTTCAACATAAAAAAAAATCACCAGGCACTCTTCTTCTTCTTATGATCCCTTATGAGTTGTTCTTGAGCAAGAAGTTACTTTCCAGAGATATCATTCAAAGGTTTACTTCACAGCAGATACACAATAATCATGTCCTTTTTTGTGCAGAGTACATCTTCAGGGGAAGTCTAATTTAAACCCCGGAGATGTTGCATGAGCTCATATGTGTTATTATTATTTTTAAGTGTCGTCAAATGTGTGCCTGAAAACATGCTGTGTAAGGAAGTCATGCTATACTGGAACCAGTGATGATAGGGGTGATATTGTTTCTATTTATTACTGCAGGTGAGCTATTAAATACATCAATTATGCTGTCGATGAAATGCTGGTGCTCATTGCAAATAACTGCAGATATAATATTCTAATCCCAATCTAACTTGTTTTTAACTTGTATGACAGTTCTCAGTAAGCTACTTCAGTTTTCATCTGAACATGATCATGCTTTCGCAAAACAAATGTATTTTTAAGAAGTTGTTACATCCATTTATTCGAGGAAACTAGCTTCGAATTGCAAATCATGCTTAAGAGATTAATACCCCAAAGAGCTTATTGTAAGGGTTACATCTTTATTTCAAGGATAAAAAACATTCAAACATTTATTGCACTACAACTACATTCACTGTACAGCTCTTATACACAAAATAACAAAAATACAGGTCAATTCAACAAACTCTTTGTCAACTGATTATAACACCTGGGTGTATGGTATTGTGGTGTATTGTGTTGTCACTGCTACACTGAATTGCTCAAGAGATACATTCAGCTCATACAATAAACTGTCCAAGACAGTTCATAGTATACAAACTGGATTACACCAGCTATTTCTCCACTTCTCTTATTCACAAGAATGAACTCTCAACAGCAGTCTCCTCCACCCATTTGCACAGAATATTTGTCCAGTCTGATACAACACACATTAAAGCTGCAATACATAAATAGTTGCATACTGTGTCAGTAAATAGAACCACAGGGTATTTTGGGTGGAGCAGCTACGTGCATGCAAAATAAATACCAGTAATTGGCTCTTTTCCTTCAGTGTGTTCTTCATTATCATCTCTTTATTTCCAAATGGGTAGCCTTGTGCTTATCATTGTAGTTCAAAGGTCAAGGAAATCAAATGAAAACTGTACAACAATCTACAATTCTACAGCAAATGAGCAACATGCAAGCTGCAATTTGCAACACAAGATAATTTCCTCTCCTGTTAAATTTGTTTCACTAATTTCTCGCATGCTGCAAGACTTGCAAGTAAATCTGCAATTTACAAGCAACAAACATCTGTGAAAGATGATGCTGTCACTGTGTGTGATTGCAAATGCATGCAAATTGCTGTTGTGAAAGGAGCCTCTCCAGTGTTCATTTTACTTAATATAATATCAAACCATGCTTTATATAATGATTATACGTGTTTATGTGTTTGTTATGAGAAAATATAATACATAATTACAGTCCTTTTATTTTACAACAAAATTTTAACTTTCTACAAATACTGCTCTGAAAACACTTCCAACAGTGTGCAATGCAGAATGAGCTAAATGTTTAGGTATTGGAAACAGCATTATGTGTTGGTGAGTCTAAATTGGCAACAGATTTCTTAATGCTTCCAACAGTATAAAAGTGCAACAAAAAGCATAATTTCTACTGTGAATATAAATAAACTTGATTCACATGCAACATATTTCTGTTGATTGCACATTTGAATACAGTATTTTTGTTGCAATGAGTGAAACAGTTTTGGAGTAATGTGTCACCTTTAGATGTGTGTGGAAGCTCTGCCGTCCATGGAGCTGGACCTGGACAGGTATCGGCTGATGGTGCGCCCTTCCTCTCCCATCGCGTTCTCCATCTTTGAGAGCACAGAGCTCCTGAACTTCTGCTTGAAGTCGTTGCCCATGAAGACATACAACACTGGGTTGAGGAAGCTGTTCGCTGCTGCCATAGAAGTGCCTACTTTGAGTCCGATAGTTAAAATGTTGTGGTTGTAGTTGTGGTGGTTGAGCTCAAGCAGGATGAACACATGGTAGGGCAGCCAGCAGACGAAGAAAGCGGCGACAAGGGCAGTCATGACTTTGAAGGGTTTGGTGGATTTGGTCATCCTGTTGGTTCGAAGTTTGGAGATGATGACAGAATAGCAGATGATGATGATGAGGAACGGGACAACAAACCCTGCAAGGAAGCGGCTCAGTGCAACTATCTTGTGACTGTGTGAGGGCGATGCATAGTTGTTGAGGCAAATTTTTTTACCCATGTGAGTGCCAACATCCCGATAGATCATAGAGGGAACACTCAGTGCGATGGCGAGAACCCAAGCCAGGAAAACAACAATGGACGCCATTTTAATAGTGCGATGGTTCTGGGCCCAGACTGGAAACCTTACTGACACAAAGCGGTCGACGCTGATGATGACCAGGAGGAAGATGCTGCTGAACATGTTGACGAACATAATGGCGGAGGTGAATTTGCACATGAACTGGCCAAAGACCCACTCCTCCATCGCCATGTAGGTGATGCTGAACGGGAGGAAGGCGCAGAAGAGGAAGTCAGAGATCGCAAGGCTCAGGTACCAGGTGGTGTTGACCGTCTTCTTCATCTTGAAACCAGAAATCCAGATGACCAAAGCATTTCCACAGAAGCCCAGCAGAAAAATGACCACGCTGACCACGATCAAAGACAGACACAAGGTGTCCTTTACACATGTCGTATTCTGCTGAAAAATGGACTCCTGAGGTTCAGTAATATTCCCTTCATAACTGTAGTTATAATCTAAATCATCATACTGGAATTCCATTTTGCCTCGAAGTACAGAACTGTATGAGAGATTTCTGTGGGAGAAAAAAGGAAAACATTTAAAATGACCAAATTCAACATCATTTTCCAACAAAGATTATTCAATGAAAATGTTTTTTCAATCTAAATTAACTGTTATACAAAATTTACTGATCTTTGAACTATGCCATACCAGCAGCGCAGACCTTCAACTGATGCTGACTTGATGGTGTCCAGAGTGTTGTGTCAAATGAGATGTGTGGTTTCCTTTAAACGTGTTAGACACACAACTCAACCCATTTGCTTTGCAATCAGCTGACTTAGTGGTTTCTCAACACTTCATTCCCCCAAATACTTTCAGTACTGCATTTTGAGGTCTTATAACATCTATTCAATTATTTAAGTACAGATTTGAGATTGTTACATATTTAACTTTTACTCCTCTTTATTGTCACTACAGTTATCAGACAGCTTTAGCTACGATACAAATCATGATTTTTTCGCACAAAACACATAAAATATAAGGTTGTGTAATAAATTAAACTTCCCAGTAGTTTATACAAGTACAGCTGAAACGATTAGTTAATTAATCAGTTATTTAATTCAATAATGCAATTATTTTGATAAACGTTTAAATCATTTTCAGTGCAAAGATTACAAACATTTCCTGGTTCCAGCATCATAAATGTGAGGATTTGCATTTACAGTCCACCTCAACAGCAACAGTAAAATCCTGCTTTTATAATAATGCATCAGTAACAATAATCTAATGACATATTAGTAGTGTCACTGGCGACATTTTTCTGCATACTTTTACTTTTAAGAATGTAAAGGGTCCAGTGACTAACATTTGGGAATATAATAATCATAGGTATGTTTTCATTAGCGTATAATCACCTGAATATATGAACCTCCATGTTTCTACAGTAGCACAGAAGTGGAGTTTCTCGTACACACATCTAGTTCTCATTCCCAGGTCGTAAAATACCGATGTGTGTTCAGTTCAACTTCACCACTAGATGCCACTAAATCCTACACACTGGTGCTTTAAGTATATTTGTCTGATTATACTTAAGTAACATTTTCACTTCCTAATAATGCCAGAATATAAAAAAAGTTATTGCTTTATTAAACGTAATCATACTATTGTTGTTATTATGATATTCTATAGTTTTGAATTTTAATATTCTTCTTCTGACCTGAAAGAAAGAGAAGTCTTAATGAACACACATACATGTTCTCGCCTCTGTCAAAGATTTATGATAAGGCTCTGATGTTTTCCTTTTCTTTGCCAGATGCCTGTTACCGGCCAGATGTAACTGTTCAAAGCAGTCAGAGGAGGAAGGCATGTAAGGTCGAAGTGTTCATTAAAGCAGAAAGCATAACAGTATCCGACAATAAACACATTGATTTCAATTTTATATTTCAGCCCCAGCTTTTGGTGCAGATGTTTCTAATAACAAACACAAAGCAACAGCTGTTGAAAATACAGGCCACAGAACATCTCTGCCATCATTACTGACTGAATCAGCTCTTGTCCTGTTTCATGGAGACATAATCATCAGAGCAGATGCATCTGTCTGTAATATTCAGTGTCTCTTCTGAACACAGGGAAGTAGCAACAAGAAGAGCCGCAGATGGTAAAGTTACTGAGTTTTAAAAATGTTATGATGCGTGAGGAGTATTACTGGATGCCTGATTTTATCTGAAACTCCCACATTTCTAGAAGATGATAAACTGATGAGGTTTAGAGGGATGAAGAGTCGCTATCAGACACAGAAATTATAACATAAGAAGACTAGAAATGTCCAGAAATGGGGAATTTATCTGAACCATTATGGTGAAACAGAAGAAAGCCATAGATTTCATAGTTTATACCTTCACTTTCTATTTCTTATTATCTGAAGTGAGGAATGTGTAAGTTTCACGGAGTATTTAGAGTTTTCATTCTATACAGCCAACATAATACATTTGTGGACTATACAAAAGTTTAGATTGAGATACAATCTTTATAACTATAAATCTTTAATAACTACACTGTGTAAAGAGACAATAATATAATAGATGGGAAAGTGCCAAATGTTATAAAGGTCCAGTTTGTAAAATTTAGGAGGATCTATTGGCAGAGATGGAATAAAATATTCATAACTATGTTTTCATTGGTGTATAATCACCTGAATATAGGAATCGTTATATTTTTGTTACCTCAGTTGCCTGGAGTTGATGGAGTCTGTGATGCTGATACGCAGCCGGTCGTCTTTCAACCAACAGGTTTCTACGGTAGCCTGTGGTGGCAATTTGTTTAACAAAGCATACAAAGTATGATCTTGTCTTTCTGTAAGGTTTTATTCAAGTCATCCATGAATGGTCTCAACGCAACCGCCACACACTCTCGTGTGTAAAAGTCCGAACGAGCCAAGAAGAGAGGAAGCAGTTTAGTTTTATCCCTGTTGGAGCATCACTCTAACACAGTTACACATTCCTTAGTTCTGGGGCAGTCACCAGATGGTGTTATGACGATTGGTCTTATCATGTCCTCGGCTTCACAGTGAAGTCTCAACATTACACAGAGCACATAAAGAAACAGGACAAAGGGTTACATGCATTATAATAGATATGATATAACAATAACCAAGTCAAAGGGTAACACAGGTTCTTAAAAATTGCCATAACAAGCCACTGTAGTTTTTACCTCACACTTGGAAGAGGAGGTTGAAGCGAGGGAGCAGCAATCTGCAACTACACCGCTAGATGCCTCTAAATCCTACTCACTGGACCTTTAAAGCATCAGTCTGAAATTAGTTTGAAACTGAACCTTGAGTGCTCACCTACTTCATAAGTGCCAAAAGTCCTCCACACTCGAGAGTGACTGTATTAAAGACCCTTAGATTAAATATAACGCCATGTCATCTATACAGGATTTAGAATTAAATTTATTTCAAATTGTTTTGTAGCACTTTACTTGAATTTAACAAAGTAATTGAATTTTTACTCCTCTATGAAGTGTATAATCTTGTTTTTCTCCACACAAAAACATGTGTTAAGCTTACAAAGCACATCATTGTATTGCATCACACCTGGTTGAGTGTTCAGTGGAGAAAATCTGAAAACCCATCGTTTCCTTATGTGTCCTAATGTTCCCTTGATTATTATAATGAACAAGCAAATTTCACATGTTCAGGAAACTATCTTATGCATGTAAATCCTGAACCGCATGCAGCTCTCTGTTAAATTAGGAAATAATTGCGTACAATATGCCTGCCTGACCCATTTAGATCCATTTCAGCAAAATCACTTTCACTGCAGAGGACACACAGACCTGCTGGTGCCCTGCAGATTAGATTTCCTAATGAAGGCGGAGGTTATAAATAATCAAAGGCACACAATAATCAGGTGTAGCTGAAAAGAAAACTCCCCTATGAGGATGACTAAAGCACTATGCTATCTTTAATTTCATTATTTGCAGCATTGCTGAAGAGTTTTGTAGTAAAGTGGGGAAATACTGGGCTACAGGAAAAAGCATGACCTTACCATAATCAGGACTGCGATGTACTGGAGGTATTTAAATGGGTTGTACAGAAGGATGAAGATTACTTAAAACAGAATATACTGTATATATTTGACTCAATTTTCCTCAAGCCCAGAGAAGTGTTATAGAATATGCCAACAAATGTGTGAGAAAATCCTGAGCAGAGATATCACTTCCCTATCGACATTTTCACAGGATGTACAGTATCTAACCATTGTGGGAACAAGCTCTTGATGTTAATTCTCAGCAGTAAGCCATAACTGGACATTTCTCTCATTGATCAACAGTCTTATCAATCTTTTACAGATTATGTTCATTTTGTTAAACTGTTACACATCAAGTGTCCTTCGTGACAACCTTTAGACATTTCAGCACTTCAGAATATGAATTCAGTCTGTGACTGTAAGAGTCAAATAATTAATCTTGGCTTCATCGCTCTCCTCTAAAGAACAATCCTGGTCCAGTATGAAATTTATACTTATATTATACAAGTGTGATGTAGAAACCTGAAGTCACCAATGCACAGATACTGAGAATGGACTTTACAGTGAAGTAGGAGACATCTTGTGTCCAACAGGAAAACTTGAAATGAACAGAATTAGCATATTCATAGATTTTAGGGTAGATGATTAATTATTTTTACATTGAATTGTTCTTTTTGTGGAAAAACAAACACATTATTTTTCCAATATGTCTGGAAGAAAGGGTCTTGAAACATTTCAGGAAATGAAAGTGACTATTTCTGTTTTCTAACCAATGACCTTAAATCTTTCCATTGCATTCATGCGGTCATGGTTCACAATAATCCATTTACCCACTTCCACTGATGAACATATACAGTTCCCAGACTGCATTATTAACCTACAGGCTGATTTTATGCTTTAAATATATTCTCCTCAAGCTAGGGCCCTGACAGCAACAGCACATATTTATTCCTGCAATCAGGACTGGTCTCCCCTCTCCTCCCCCGCAGTCTGATGGAGGGTCCTCCGCTGTATGTATCAGGTTCCACTCCTGCCAGCCAGTGTGCTGCTCGAATTGTATTTTAAAGTAACTTGAGCATCATCGCTACATTAGTATCCGCTGCTTGAAACCCATTATATAGATTAGAGTGTGGCAGAGATGCACCAGTCAACAGCATAAATCTGTTTACCTAAAATCCACCTCCACAACGAGGATTAAAATGGACAGAGTTTTTGAGTCACAATATCAGAAATAGATAGTAATCATGTTGAAAAGTTCCGTGGAACAAAGTGGTGGCATTAACCTCAGGATGTTGTTTCTTCATGCGCCTCAAATCATATCATCAATCATCAGTTATTATCAGAACCACAATGATTTTGCAGGGTTATTGTGCAAGCAAAAGCTACAAGGTGAATGTTTGAATGTGTAAAGAAGTTAGGCTATAACTTTCTTACATTTCTGAGCTAGTTCCAAGGTCCAAATGTTGTGCATTCAGGCTTTATTCAGAGACATTTTAAGTTGTTGTAATGGAGGTACTACCACATTGCCTAAATGATGAATAGAATTACATGAAATGAAGTGCTGCATGCAGCATTTTCTTGCATATGTAAAGGACATAATGTATTGGGGATATTCCTACTGTAAAGGACCAAAAGGAGATATGCCATTGACCCATGTTCCATTTTATTTTAGCAAAGTTGTCAATCTCTACAGTTACAGTGTAAAACATTAAGGAAGATCTACTGGCAGAAATTTAATATAATATTCATAACATTAGTGTATAATCACCTGAAAATAGGAAATTATATATGTTTTACCTTAT